AATGAAAGGAAGCAAATTTTTAAACACAGTCGAGCACGAGCCATATGCCTGCAGGCACGGTATGTTTTGGACTGCCATAATAGTTTTCCTCCCCGAATTCCCTGATGGTGAACAATTCACACGCCTATGTGAGTGAGGCCATTCACTTTGTGGAGTCACCTTTTGCCGCACAGTGTGCAAAAAAAAAGTATGGACTTGCCAGAAAAATCTTTCAAAACGTAAACGGCTTTCGTTCATTTACGTACTATACACTATCAAAATTACGGATATTTTTGCAGTATTTGATGCACCAAGTGAATGATTTGAACCGATGCTGTTGCTTCTTGTTGATGAGTGACTATTATCGTCAATATAGACGCTTTTCAAAGTAGTAAAGGTAGCTATCCTGTTGTGTACTATGAACAAGTAATGGCAGCAAGTCGCTGGGAAGAGCCTGTTAAAGCTCGGATCACTTACGCCATGATGCGGAAGCGTGGATTGCTTCCGCCATGATGGGGAAAATGTAGAGCCGACTCTGTTGGTTTCCACACGCATACCGTAGAAGCCAGGTTCATCCAGGGCAGCATTTCCGCTTGAAGCACCAAGAGGTGTCCACTATTTCTTAGGCAAGTGTGAAGCGCGAAGAAGCGCACTTGCGAATTATGAAAAGGGCCTAGTGTAGAAAAACTAGGACGCCACAAGTATTTAACGGAAATAGTCCTACCATTCAGCCACTGCAGTGAACACTGTTATTGTTTGACAGTAGCACAAATGATAATATTAAGAAACCTTGTTGTAGAAAGTTTGCTATGTCTAAGCTAATGAGGAGATGTTGAACGACATCGACATTAAGCAGGCTTTGCTAAACTCATGGAGGCCGATTTACCGTCATGTGTAACGATAAACACTTGCAAGTTTAAAACTTTCCTTTAGGTGTGACCACAGGGAATTGCATGAGTCACCTGCAAGAACATGCAGCTGCAATACGAAGATTTGGACTGTTAGTTTATAACTATTAGTGCAGAGAAAAACCAAGAAACTTTAAAATGTTTTTGAGGACGATGATCAAAATCACAATGTGGCTTTGACGCAAGAGCTCGACATCAAGCTTCTTTTATTCTATGGCAAGAAGTGCTCACTACGGACTGATCATCTTTATTGTTAGTTTGACTCTTTTTTCGGCAAAGTAAGTTACCTTCATGAATAGTAGAATATAATCATTATTTCATCAAAAGGGTGAAACGCTAGTGCCGTTAGCTCTCATCACAAGTTTATGTGACGCGATCAGTACGCCTCAATAGCCATATATATATATATATATGTAGCATCCACCGGTATGATGAATGCAAAACTTTCAATTCCAAATAAATTGTTTCAAACTTAAAACAGACACTTTTATTCAACATAAACGTGTCATCACTTCTTGTACAGTACTTTTGTAAAACAGCAAATAAACCTTGTGCATATGTAAACGCCTTTCGATATATAGAGGAGTTAATTCTATCTCCACAACATAGTTGTGATAAATACAACCACACAATGACAGCTTAACAATCTAAATTTATGTTATGACAGCGCAGTAGTGCATTGAAACATGTTGGTGGAGTTATTGTAGTACATCCCTCTGAGGCGCAATGTGCACATAACTGGACTCAACTTGTTTTGGTGAGCTTTAAGCACTAGTGGCCAGAGATAGCAATAAAGAGTGCGCACAGGATGAACTGAACTTTCAGCATTGTCAATGTGATTTCACCGCAATGTGGTGCGCATGACAGCAGGCCAGCCACTCGGTGAAATCACTATAATTTTCGATGGCTTGGTCGGCGTGGCGCATTCCAAAATCATCAAAAGATTTTTTCTTGCTCTAGTTCAAGATACAAAAGCGAATCGCGCGTGCGTTTGAAACCTGTCATTTGGTTCTTTTAATTAAAATGAGACATGACAGCTAATTTATTATATGTTTAATTATGCGTAAATAGAAATAATTAACAATGCTCGCACGAAACAACCTAGTCTTTTTATTGGAAAGTAATATCAACTGCTTTAGAATTATGTGCCAGTCTTACAAACAGTCGATAATATCTGCTCATAAAGAGATATGTGGCGGAATAAGAAGGTTTCTTTTGCAAAATTCTATGTGTCAGATGTGTTGTCGAAAGTGCGCAAATGCGCTCACCATTATCTAAGAATAAACTCTCGCGCTGCCTTCGAGGGAGCTCTACAATCTTTCCAGTTGTACAGCATGACACTTATTTGAAAGGCCTCAGCTATGAATACAGATTGCCAGGTTGGTGGCTTGGGCTTTGTGGTTGAACACTGTAAACGATAAGTTAGCGCGAAAAGTATACAAAATACCACAGTCAGGTCGCAAAAAAACCTAAGTGACATTCAACTTTCACACTCGACTTCCGCGCTGCTTTATTGTTTTCGAACAAAAGAAACTACATTTTAAACATTCAATAACTTTTTAAACTCATTTAGTGCCTATGTAATAAAAAAACTGCGCATAGGATAAATAATCTATGTCCTTATTCGCAAAAGCATTTAGCGATTCACATGCTTATGAGGAAATTTTTCAACCCATCACAGTGTGCTACATATCCTTAGCAATGTCGTCTGACTATTGAGAAATGCCTGCAAACTTTGCAAGACCAGATTCATCAAAACCTCCTGCAACCTAATACTACTTCTAATCCGACGAAAAATTGCACTTGAAACGGAAAAAATATTGAATAAGGTCCTTACAACTTTTTCTTAGGCTGCTGTTTGAAACTATACAGCATAACTTCTTTCACAATCTCACGTTTCCTCCAAGTTCACATGTGTACCGATATGTCATTTTACTCACTACGCTTTTTATGGCCGAAGATCAGCTCAGATCTCTTAGGTAGCTTGATGTACCAAGAAATATTACCTATTATGCAAGCACACATGATGGTCTGCATTACACAGTGTCAATCTAACATTTAAGATAGCCACACCAGACGACTGTGAGGCTATTGTGCTCAGCGCATGGCCGTATGACCAACTCAAGTAGCCCGGCTGGGTGAAGACGCTGCCAAGACTCAACGTCTGGCCACTGCTTGAGGGAGGGCAGCTCCCTTAGGGCCTATTCTACCGTCCCCAACCTGCCTTGAGCCCAGAAAAGACAAAAACAATGCGTTGTCTCTTTCAGTCTTCATAAAAGTAGCCGGTTTAATTTTAGCGTACTCTCCATAAACAATGCTTCCTTTCTCAATGTTCGCCACTGTTCGTGAGCTACTATCTTACGGCGATAAGTCACCCCAGTATTGCCGTTGGACCGAAACAATTGCTCTACCAACTGAGTTTGTCAGGAGGCAAGAAATTGAAAAAAAAAACGGGACACTTTGGTTCTGCCTTGATTGGCAATACCAACTGAGCAGCACCCACGCTGTATGAAAACCTTCATGTGTCTGTTTCGCTGTCTTCTTTTATGAAATGTAATTGTCTCCTCACTGCGAGGAAGTATCGGTACTGAACCTCTCCAACAACAAATTTAAGCTCAGCAAGCAATACTATTAGATGAGTTTTGAAGTTGTTGTCCAGTGGTTGAGGCACACATCACATGAAAAAAAAAGGAATAATTAATTGTAGAGTATCCATACCGTCTGACGGTTGAGGTGTTCTTTTTTGTTTTGAGGATGCTGACACTCATGCAGAAAATCTTCACTCAAGTAAGAGGTGTAAATGAACTGGGACAGTAAAACACCTCCGATTTTTCTATGTTCACTTAAAAATTTTCACTTAGCTGCCGAGCAAAAACACTAGTTTCATCTAGGACAATGTGTGTGGGGAGAGTTTTATGAAAAAAACTGGTTATTCAAAAGAAGCAAATTAAATTGTTGTTGTTCAGCCTCGGACCTCTCATCGTTTACAAATATTCAATACCCTAGGCTCCAAGTGTTCTCTTTGTGAAAGTCATTCAGGGTATCTCGGCAAGCTCTCTCGGAACAGCCTCACTCAGCAGGTCAAGTTTGCTTTCACTCATTGTGATCAGTGATGCAGCAGCAAATATTTTTTCGTGGAGTTCTAAGTGTTTCACTGTGGAACATAGTTGGGCAAGCGAGCAATATTTGGGGGAGTGAAGAGTGTCATTGTGCTTGACAAGTAAGACAACCTTTAGCTCCATGGAGCCCTTCGAGCTGCTTTGTCTTCCCAGCCTACCAAAATACAAGATTCGATCGTGCCATATATGCGTAATCTCATAATAACGAATCAATATATAATAACATTGAAGAGCACTGTCGTAGTAAGTTTTAATTAAAAAGCGGGTATTTTTATAACGTTACTACAGGCTAGAAACTCCTTTTTGTTCCTGTACTTGACGTTTCATATCAACATGTATTTGATACACGCTGATTTGAAAGTATTAAATTATCCTTTCTTCACGATATAGCGTATTCCTGATATTCATGTTCGTAATATTGTCATACTTGCGTCACATGGTCACGTTTGATCACGATCAGGCCTGAATCCGGGCGAAATTCATTGATCGTGATTGACTTGTTTAAGCAAGCGGCAGCAGGGAGCCGATCATTATTTCAGATTTGGGCGCACGTTAAAGAACCCCCGATGGTCGAAATTTCCGGAGCCCTCCACTACGGCGTCTCTCATAATCATATGGTGGTTTTGGGACGTTAAACCCCACATATCAGTCAATCAATCGAGCCATTCACTATCAGTGAACTCCATCTTAAAGGCAATCAGTGGAGTGCCGTGTGACAATGGTGTAAGATATAGGTAGATTCTGTTGCAATAGCACTAGAAATAAAGAACAGAGATGAAAGAAAGCCGAAAGGATGAGTGCACTGAGTGAGGACTGCACAATGCTTGCCCGCAAAACACACTAGTAAACCTCCTCATTGTCCGGCGAGGTGGTCATTGTGCGCCGCCTCAAGGACCCGTGGTATCAACTGTACGTCACTGAAGGCGAATCTGTGGCAGTTCAAGTTCATCAGGTGCAGTTGCCTGGCGTGGACCAGAGTTCTTCGCCATTTTCGATTGTTCCGCAGCAAGGGAATGTCGTTGGACGACTGCAGTAACAGTCATTCGCAGGCTAGCTTGCTGTCGAAACTCGACAGGGCGATTGCGAACGCTTGCAGGGCGCAGAGAGGATAACAGTAGTCCATGCTGAAGCACTCTTCTGTCACTCGGCCAAACTGCATCACGATGTAGTCGGCTAGAAAAAAAAAACAATTACATCAAGTTGGTTCTGATGGAGAGCATTCAGTGCTCATCTATATCTATAAACAGGTAAAGCAAATCATATTTGATTTCTTCAGCATTGCGGACGGCGGTGTTAAAAAGGTGGATATATTCATTGAATTAACTTCGGCAAATAGACAAGAAAGTCAGCGAGAGATTGAAATGGCTTTCTTAAATGGGGTTACTAACAATTCTACTACTTTCAAGATCAGCTCTCAGTCAAAAACATACGTTGTTTTTCATGAACATTAAAACAGCTTTCAAAACAAATTGGCACCATATCTGCATGTTAATCTGCAAATGTCGTCGGAAGGCGATTGTCTTGCGTCTGGAGAGAGTGAACAAAACGTTTATTTGACGTTCTGTGCAAGAAAATTGGTGAACGGTATTCCAGAGGTGCTGCGTTAGAGTGCCTCGAGCGTGCAGCGGAGGCAAACGAGCGCATCAAGTCGCGTCACACGTGAGACATGAGTGCCATCTGGCAGTTTTCTTGGAAAACGTTGCACGTTCGAGACAGGCGTGCGCGCCCGTGTCAGAGGTGATAAGGTGCAGAACGCAAGGCGACGGGTGGGTGCCACCACCGTTTCGTCTTAGCAAAGCGTTGGAAACAATTGCCTTTTCGTGCAACCGTTGCACGGTCAGTGCAGCGTGATAAACGCTACGGTCCTTAGAATTACTTATGTATGCCTTTTCTAGTAAAAGACGCGCATACAGAATATATATGTGTTCTTATGGTGCCTCAGATATGCACAATAATTGCTTTTTCATTGACAATCGCACAAGTATGAACGCTGAACCTTGAGCAACATTAGTGGGCGCTGCGGATAGGGTCGGCCGTTCGGGATATCGGCTGGTGCCGTTTAAAGTACCCGGTATTGTTAAGGAGGGACAAAGAGACAAATGGACAGACAGACCAAAATTGTCCGTCGAAGATCCCCGAGAAAGACTATCGTCTTTAAAATCAGTAGTGCTTTACAGAAGGAACTTCAAGAAAAAATGGAGTGTTCCTTCTCTCGCGTTATGTATAGGGCGTTGCAGCACCAATATGTATACACTGTAGCGTCTGCATGGTTCGCAGGTTCATGCACGGAACATGCTGACCTGAAAGTTTTTTCAATTCAAGTGCTCGTCGTTAGGTTAGCGAGTATTAACTCTTAGCCAAATGAACAGCACTGCACAAAACGATGAAAATTGGGATTAAGAAAATGGTACCTCTTTGCCCATACGTCACGAATAAGTTATTTCATACCTCTAGAACAAATCTTCAGTCACAGGCATGGAACATTACCATTAGTTACGTATCAAGTCACATGAGTCCACATAAACCGTGTGGCACACATGTGTCATATTTGCTTTGTGACAATTTTCGCGTCTCGGACGAGTTATGTAGCTTGAGGCAGTGTTCTGAAAAATTGACGTTGACTGTGCATTATACTGTACTCTGAATTTTGTATGTAACGACACTGCTTCCTGTTTTATGTATTTGAAGGGTGGCAATACCTTTCTCGATGGCAAAGATATCTTCTGTGTACTGATCACAACTACACTACCTCTAAACTTAAGATCATTGACATCCTTCTGCGCGCACCAACCGAGTGAAACAGATATTTATAAATGTGTGCCAATGCTTGAAGTTAATTGCTCTTGATGCTATCCTTACCGTCGTTTTCGTGGACTATCTGAAAATTCTTCACGGATGCTTGCGTGACACGGCCGTGGAAGTTGAGCACGTAGGACTGCGTGTCTGCAAGAGTTAATAGATGTAGCAGTAAATATAACTAATATAACTGTAGCTTATATAGTTATTTATACCTATATAACTAATATAACTAAATATAACTAACGTGGTTGCTTGGGCGAGTTGGTACGACGTCATTCACATACAAAACAGCGCCAATAACGAGGGACAAGAAAAGAAGGAGACAGACAGCGGCACTGTCTATATATAACTAATATAACTATAGCGTTCAGGGATACACGGAGGATTGATGTGATGACAAATCACCGAAGAAGAGAGTCTCACTGGACCCACAAACTCGACGAAGGCAGTAACGGCTGTTCTCGTCACGGCCTTGGCTAGAACAAGACCACTTGTCTTAAATGTTTCTCCAGCGACATTTTCTGTCGAACAGTTTCCGATCAAATTAGCACAAAATCATCATTGCCAAATTCTCGATGAGCCGTGTCATTTAGTGAATTTTGCAGGCATGACTAATTCTTCTAAACGAAACAGAAAACCCCACCACCCCTTTTGCATATAGATATAAAACTGGTGTCCCACGAGTACTTTTGATCGCGAGTACGGTCAATCCAGATCTAATTTTTTAACCACAATAAACAATCGTCGCTACTACGTGGTTCATACTGATCGTGATCGAGTTTCGCGGAGGTGCCTATTAAATAAATAAACAAATAAAATTCCTATCTTGGATCCTGATCGTAATGCGACATTGCTATCCTCTCGATACCAATCGCGCCTGATCGTGATTAAAGCCGACGGTGTAGCAGCTCCTGATTTGAATCAGACCTAGTTTTGATCAATCATGATCGCGATCAATATCGGCCTTGTGGCACCTGTAAAAAAGTTAGCCAAGTTCACCTATGACATTCCGAAATTAAGTGGTGATTTGCGATAAAAACCCTTACCTTCATTCCAGACCGGCGTTTTGTTGCGAAGTTCAAGCAGGTTTTCTGTGTTGCGACTTTTCCACCGCTCAAGCAGGCCGCCATGTTCCTTTGAAAGTAAATGGAAACATAAATGCATAAATGCTTAGAATAAACTTTCGTTAATAAAATGCACTGCATGAGAAACACTATCATTGTATCAATAAGGTTTGAAATAATAGGTGAATATTTATTAAAGCTTGTCACATAAATAGTGCTTTTATTTGGCAATGATTTTGGTAATATATAATCCAATCTATCCAAGGTTCACAAACCATTCTTCTATAATATATCTTGTCTGATTCTTTCGATAAAGGCTCCTTTAATTTTAATTTCTATAATTCTCTTCTCGAAAAATGTTATGACATTTCCCGTACTGATAAGTATTTGCGGCATATGATTCTATAACCAGTGGCCGTGGCTTAAAAAACGCTGAAGAGGGTTTTGTGTCAATTGAGAAAGAAAATTATTATCATAAAACAGCACACTTGTTGAGGTTTAATTTAATCTTTGCTGATGCCTGTCGAGTCCTGTAAGTCTTCTAAAAAAGATGCTATATTTTTTGGTAGCAAAAATGTCTTGAGCTAAATTTACTGGGTTCCTCTTTCCATAACGATTTCATTAACAATAGCTAATGTCGGTTATTTCCGCCAGCCAAAATACCCTTCTTCTAGAATCCAGGGCTTTCTGGGCTCATCCGCACAGTAATTTCGAGAAGTGAACTTTGCTTCCCTCGTATTAAGCCTATTTATTTGTCTGTGTATCTTGTGGTGACAAAAAGCAATACTGAAGAAATTTTGTAAGACTAACCCCGACTGTGTCTTCTACATGTATGCAGAGAAAAAAAATATATCTTAGCGAGGTTTCTTTCTGAAGTGCATCTTTCACTTTATAAAGAAGCACTGAAAATTGTTTGACGCCTGTTATTTCTACTATTATTTCTTTAAGGTGCTGCCACTGCGTGTACGATCCTCAAAGACGAACGAGATAGTGATAATTATGTTCAGAACCACGCAGCTGGGTTTTCGATTTTGATAATGACAAAAAATGTGGTTACATTTAAGCTTCCATTGCGTATGAAAACGCCCACTCACGAAAGACGGCTTCAGCTCAATCCTCTTGTGGTCTTTGGTCATAGCTGGTACAATGACGGTCATCTTCCGGGGTCCCTTGAATCCCAGCACGTTGGTCTCCTGCGAGCCATTTGAGGGAGCTTTTGCAATCTGAGCAGTGTTAAATGAGGGTGCATCATGCTGAACTGGTCGTTACTGATTTAGCCAGAGTCAAGGGCCATATTCTGAGCAAGAGATATGGCCATATTTATGTATTCCAGCACCTGCTCATTGGCAGGTTGAGAAAACGCGGACAAGCAGGAGTGTCAGTGTGGAGGCGTTCGACAGTATACATACATCACGCAAAGAGACACTGCCATCGTAAGTTACGGTCTTGAAATAAAACCTCAATGTGTCAAGCTTGCCTCCACGTTAGTTCCCGCTGCCCCAGATTACCACCGTAACAAATTAAAAAAACAAAAAGAAGAAGCACGTTAATTTATAGACATCCTCACTAGTAGCGAGTGGGGCGCCAAGGATGTTTTAGCCACTATATAAATGCCCGCCATCACGCAATGTTGCCACATCGTTGAAACAGATTTTTCGATGGTAACGTAGTATGAACTTTCCAGTGCTACTGAGATTATTGCTACTGTTTATACGGGAAGCGCGCAATCTTGAAAACGTCCTCGAATTTTGCCTATTTAGAGCCTACGCTTTTTGCGCGGCGTCGCCAAGCACAGAATTTTTGATGCAGAAAAATATTAAACATCACTTCGTGTATTACGGCGTCTGTATAACGTACATGACCTCAGAATAGCGTTTTGAGGCGAATTCCAGTATCACAACAAAATAGTAGAACACGTGGGTATGTTAACAAACACAGTTTTTTTAGGGGGGGGGCGTTGTCACTGCCTTTATATGTATTGCCACTACAATAAATTTTACGCTCAGTAAAAAATTATGCCTATTTATTATGACAAATTGGTAGTGCAAACAAAGGAGGAATGCCTATTGTTCGTCAAATGTTTCAGTGGAGTGATCAAAATAGGCACGACCACATTCTGACACACCTCTGTATACAACTTTAACGTGTAATATCGTAGTCGCACACTTCAGATAATATTTGTGGTACCCAATAATGAACAAAGATATATCTAAACAGTAATTCTCACGTTACAAAAAGGCTTAAGCCTATAGTGTACAAAACTACCGTCTTGCCTATTCTTGAGTACGCTAACATTTTTGGGACCCAGTTTTTTCTGGTTAATATTATTAAGGTATAACTTGCTCTGAATCTAGCAGTGCAATGCAAATAATCCGCCTCGGAGCAAGAAAACTTTCTCCCGCTTGACCAGTGGAATTCACAATAATTGTGGGAATCTTTTCTTGCCGGTTGATTATCGAAAGGTTCTTGCCTTTGAGTCTTGTGCCTTTTCTCTGGTGTTTTTCCTTAACGAGTTGTGTTTACGTTTTTTGCTATCGTACACTATGCTACCGCTTCTGCCTAACGAGTTTATATACGTTATATTCACCATCCTATGCCACTCTGGAACAGTTCCGCTAGAAGTCAGCAGTATTGTAAAATAACTTAGTAAATAAATAAACATTGGTTATGCTCGCAAGTAGTAACCAAGGTTGGTGGGGTCACGTAGAGTGCAGAAGTGGCAGTATTTTCCAGAACATTTGTTTTTTTCACAAGACGCGTCACAAAAGAACTTCTGCGATAATCTGACATGAAGCATTCCAGCTTTCCACAAGCAGATTTGGCTTGGTTTGATTCGAGTGCTCATTCCAGGATTATTGTGGCTGTTTGGAATCTACTATTGAAAAAAACTACAAGAGGTAGACTATTGATCAAGCTAGCCGGTAATTACACACCATTGTAATAGCGGAACACCTTACAAAGAACGTGCTGCAAGCGCTTGTGACCCCCCTCATTAGTCTAGATGTTATGGTGCTCCAATGTTTACCTGATGTTCGCGGATCCGATTCCGGCCACGGCAGTCACATACTGTTGGAGCCGAAATCATAGAAGTTCATGTACTTAAATTCAGGTACACGTTCGAGATGGTGCTAAATTAAATGCACCTTAAAGTGCACGTTAAAATTTTTGATACCCTTTATTGATGACATCCGGTTTCGTCCACCGATGTGCCTGAACGGCATTGGTGGGCAAGAAGAGCGTTGCAAAATAGCCCGCTAATTTTCCGCGCTTTTCTTCTCTCATTTGGCAAAATATGTTCGAATAAATGTTCTTTTGAGCTACATAAAGTCTACGAAATATTGCCCTGAATATTACGCATGTTTGTTTTTTATCTGAAAAACTAATAAGCGACTTTTGTTTTACACTTGAAAAAATGAGAAAACGTCCTTTTAGTTTCAACGTTACGAGCTGGTAACTTAGGTGAACGGAAGTTCTTTTGGGGCACAACGCTTGCAACCTTGAAACCGTCTATAATGTTCATAGTATCGTGGTTCTGGAGTGGGAAACACCAGTTACCACATTACAATCGGTCGTGGTTTGTCCCTCTTGAATCCGTCTTCACTAAAGCGTCAGCGCCACTTTCAATTGTGGCCTTGACGTATATTTCAAGGCGGCGGTGCACTCACGTAAACTACAGCTCCAATCTCGGAACGAACCGAACGCTTCTCGGCGTTCTGCCGGGGCTTCTCGGCGCAGTCGTAGATCGTGAAGGCGGTGCCGAGGAGATTGGAGCGCAGCTTCCCCACGAACGACTCGCCTCCCCGCGAAAGGTCGGTGGGGTCCACAGAGATCAGGTAGTTCGACGTGGCGCTCTTTTTACGCTTCCGTGCGGCGAGCAGAAACACCTGCAAGAAACGGACGCACCGGATAGATTTATTCTTAGTTTTATTAGGGCGAAAATCCGTAGATTCACACGAGAAAGTCTTTTTTTCTTTATTTCCGATAAACTTCACAAATGGGTTGCTAAAATATATTACAATTCACTACGAACAATACAAAAAACTTAAAAATAACTAAGCCCGTCAAGCATAACTATAACACATCACGTCCTAGGATTCCTTCATGGTCAGTAGGGCGTCTATCCTTTCTACCCATAAAGGTACACATTCGTCTGTTCTTACTACTTCAAGTAATCTTGAGATGCTTTCTTTAAAATACTCTCTTGCTGGTCTTCTGTCTGGGTCACAATGAAATCCAGCCATTCTAGAGCGCCATATACTGTGCAAGGCAGTCATCATGATAAAATCGAAAGGTAATCCATCCTCATTCTCTATTGCCAAATACCTGATCTCATGAGGGTCTAACGGGAACTCTTTTTTGATTGTCCTTTGTAATACGTCCCAAAAATAAACTCCTTCCCAACAGTGCAGGAAAACATGGTCGATAGTTTCCGGTTTCTTACAGATTAGACAGTGAGATCCCCAAGGCATATAAAGCCCACGCTCATCTAGGAAGGTTCTTACAGGAAGTGTTCCAGTGTGTAATTTGAAAAAGAACGTTTTCTCACTTGGAGCTGCTGGCATTTTTTTAACTCGTTTAAGTACGTTCTGACCCTTGCGTGCTGTATATAGCGCTCTGTACAGTGGGATGGGGAGCATCATGTCACATAAATCTTTGTACAGTTTTTTCTTACCAACAGACCACAGGTAGTCAGTTCAAAAACGAACACACAAAAACCGTGCACGCTGGCCACTACTTCTTTCATGTATCCTTGCACAGCCCGTCGACGCCGACACGAGTAAACGCAAAAAAGAATTCACACACATCCACGAAGTGAACGCGGATGCTAGGGCGAAGTACTGTACGTTGGATTATGAATCGTGGCCTTCTATTTTGTTATGGTTAAGAACCTTTTGTTTTGTTTTTGCTAATCTTTTGTTCTGTCAAGGTTTGATTCATGGGTAAATAAATGTCAGCGTTTTTACTACGCTGCTGTGGCCTTATATCTTGTTTGTTTTAGTTAACAGCGTTTTAATATTCTCGTTGTTCAAAAATATTCGGGTTAGTTCACATGCACCTCGGCTACATCGGCTGTACATGCCGGACGGTGATTTACGGACATGGTGCGATTTCAAGGCTTCACCCTTAGAAATTATTAGGATGTGCTAGCATCGCTCTATTACGCCATCATAGCGACATAAATAGTCGGAATTAGTAACGTTATGACGTACCCAATATGACGTCATAAAACGTGACGTCATAGTGGCAACACTATCCAAGTTAGGCGTCGATCGGTTAAAGAAGGGTTTTTGCATGAGGCACTGCCTCACCATGTGTGAGGAAGAGACCTTGTAATGCCTCCGATCCTGATTGTAATGCGAATCTACGTTAGCTTCAGAAAGCTTTTGTTTAGAGGAGGGGGGGACGAAATCAACGCATTAGGGTGGTCAGATAAAGCATATTTTTGTTTTTAGTTTTGACGCGTATTACGCAAATGCAGAAGGGACCGTGTGACTCAATCAGCGTACGCCTTCCTTGATGGAGTCACGCAGAAAGAGCATAACATACAACATGGACTGAATGGTTCACTAAATGTGGCAGTAATAAGACCGCCCGTCAATTAAAGACACGATAATTCATTCAAATTTCTTTATCGATACACGTGGTGTCTCGGTCTACCACAGAAACCAATATTTTACATTTGCTGCGGAGGATAGCACGACTGCACTCCTTCAGATAAATTTGTCTTTGAAGTGGTCATGTTTTGTAAGAAAAGGCATCCTAAAGGGCGTAATAGAATAGATCACAAGATTTCAGGGGTGTACCTCTAAACTATTTAGTTTCTGCGTGAACCCTAACGCGAGAGTTCTCGCCACTGGGTGCTCAAGCCGAACCCTTTTGGTACAGATTCGCCAATCGCCTGTTTTGACATGTTCAATTTGAAAATGCACATCAAAGAATGGAATCTTCACAGTGAATGATAGCCATAAAAGCCTGCAATGGACATTCTTTATACAATCTATTCCGTATGTTGCTCAATGGCAGACATCAGCAGATGGCATTAGTCTAAAACCCGAAAAACGCCAGTCAATTTTTTTATGTTCGTGTTTATTTTTCTACCAGTTTCGTTCGTGCTAATGCATGCATCAGCGCAACATGCAAAACAAGGACATCTCGGGGGCAGTTGTGCCTGTTTTTCAAAGAAAAAAAATCTAAAGTGGACGAGCCGTGCATTTTTATCTCAAAGCTCCAGATGCGTATCTCTAAAGGAGCACCTTTGACGTATGTGTCTTTTTAAATATGGCTTTCCAATACAACTGCAATTCGAAAAGATGATTAAATATAGTACAGTAGCTTCGTTCGAGTTTCACTCATCATGTCATATTGTTAGCCATTTGACAGTGTTTATTTGTCGTAAATATTACATAATCTGTCTCAAGAAGTATTGTTCTAAGATTAAATTTTCGCTATCCTATACAAAACGCCAAGAAATGCCTGTGAGGCGAACCGCTAGCTTCTGTGACATGAAATTGCGTCAAATATTTGAATTCCACACCTGTCTCATCTTCTTCATTTCCCTCTATGACCTTCATACCATGTTGAAAATATAAGTAGGCTCAGTTCGTCCTTTTCGGGCCGTCCGTGGGAAGGCCTCAATGCCTGAACATCTGCTTCTTTTTTAGACTTGGGAGTATCACAGTCAAGCACCTGTGCGGTGCAAATTCAAGAAAGAAAAACTTCAGTTTTGCAAGCGCGTTCACACGAAGCCTATATCAGGCTTGTCACCTTCTCGCCACCTTATAACCCTATTTAGATGTCACTATTCTTCGGAAATACCCCAGAAAAGCTCTGTTTTGAAGTGTGGACTCCAACTGTATTACAAGCCATTTGGAGCGTCATTTTCGGTGGTCAAGAAGAGTGGCTTATTCCGACGCCTGGAATCCCGAATCGAGACACTGCATTCCAAGTTCGATGCAGTAAAGCGAAGGCTCTGGGTTGCTTCAGCTAAACTGAGAAGAGGGCGTAGGGGAGAACCGTTCAGTTTTGACACGTATGTTTCTTCACGTGGTTTTACGTCATCGCGACTGAACGGAATAGATGCCCGTCGATAGTGAACTTCACCGCCGAGAAAAAGAACAAAAGTAGGAGGTCACTGGAAGAACAGAGATAATAAAGCACTGCGGTGGTTAAGCTTATAAAAATACTTCTTGACACCAGGTCTCAGCATCCCAAAAAATAAAGTGGTGCAATCAATGAAGTTTCAATGTTTCAATAGAAGGTATACCACCACGCACTATTTGCTTCCCACGCAGTGCTATAATGCTAAACTGTACGGTCGAAGTCATGTGTTTGTGTGCTCATACGAACGTATTCGGTCAGAACTATTGCAGGTGAAACACGATGTGGTGCGTAAAGAACGAATGCAGAGAATGCTATTGCTGCAACGTCGTATACCATTCTTAATTAGTGTCAGATTTCGACAGGGCCATTTTATACGAAACGTAGTTTAACCCAGCCTAACCTTATTTAATTTATTTATTTAAAATGTAGAATTTCATTGCACGTGGACCACTCTACAATTTCAGACAGGTGTAGTGTAAACTGCAGCTATTCCTTAATAATTGTTCCACCAACAAATCATATCCTCTAGGAACTCGAATTTAAAAAGCAGGAAGCAGGAAAGCCTTTCCGCACACCTTTGCAAAGCACGAATCGGAGTCTAAGGTGAACTATATAGTACGTAAACGTATATAGGTAAACTTGAGAAGAAGTTACCGTGTATCACACAAGTTCGTACTTATTCCTCTAGTTAGATAACCAGAGTGAACACTACAAGTACCCCAGACAGGCTGGCCGACGTTTTCATAGGATGACCTATCTTTGTCAAAGTCGTTGTGTCATCCTTGGCGTGTTACTTTAACTATTAACGCCCTTAAAACTAACACGACAAGGATGACATGGTGCCTTTGACAAATATAGGTAGCCCTATCAAAACGTCAGCCAGCCTGTCCGGGGCACTTCCACTGTTCCCCCTTATTATCCCACTACGATGTTTCAATCTGTCGGCTCCCAACTTGATTTTGGATTTACACATATTCCTCTAAAAACACGAACTGCCGTCCCGCTTGCTTCGAAGACGTGTCCGGATGAAAATTTCAGCTGTGCCAACTCTGCCCGTATTTCGCAAGACAGGGGAACTCGTGAAAATAGCCCGAACAGGAAGTGCCTCTTAGGGCTTGCGAAAACATACATCGTTACCTTGTGTGAAGACGTGCCGAAGTGAAATATCAGACCATATGAAACGAGGCGAGGCCACGACTTCTCAGTGTCTGTGTGCGAAGAACTCGCAGTATACTGGTGCGCGTAGACGAAATCTTTCCTACAGTGCATTCATAAATGACGTACATGTGTCTGAAGCGTTGTTGTGAACCAGTCAGGTGGAAGCGATGTCATGTAGCTGGCGTGACCGATTGGTGTACAGGACACTTTATTCGCAGTAAAGCGCCTTCAACGATCGCATCACTTTCTGAAACTGACGTTACAGGCTTACAGTTCCCATTCCGCTCGGGCAAACTGCCGGTCCGCAGGGCTTGAAATACATGCGTCAAAATGACTAGATCAACCGAAAACTATCTTTTCTGGACAAGCACAGCCTTGAACGAAATAGCGATAGTTGAGAGTTGTGGTCAGCATTCACAAAAAAAAAATCAAAAACAAGAAGGCACGTTTTTTTTATTGCTTTGAGTTTTGAAAAAACATTACTAATTCTTAGAGAAAGGACAGATACGGACCTTGTTCGCTTCAGTGTAGCCCGGTATTTTCTGCGGAGTTTAAAACGCCAGGTGCTGAATTTCCCCGGCCACCTTGGAACTTCCTTGCAGTCCAAGCCACGAGTCGAAGCATTACGTATCGATTCTCTCTCCATCACTCACTACGCCGAGTTTCGCGGTGTTGTATCGCGGTAATAGGCGTTTTGAGAGCCGCATTTCGATGCACGCTCTTTGGGGATATTAGAAAACGTTGAAAAGCAAATACGGTCATTGTGCACGAAGGCTCTGCCGGAAAAAAATTGCGTTTTGGCCGGTAAACTCCATAGCAGAGGAAATGTTACTTATTCATAAAAATACAAAAGAAGCGTATTGAATAATGGCCCTATGGGTGAGTACGTAACATTTCATGCTGTTTGTTATTCCCACATTCATGGATTCAGAGCTAGAACATTTTCACTCCTTTTTTCAGTCACTCTACTAACGGCTGTATTATAAGTATAGAAAAGTCAATGAAAAAGAGAGAGAGAGAGAATGGTAAAGGGAAGACGCTTCAGTTAACCAATGTGCACCTCTGGTTGGCTACCATGTACTTGGGAAAAAAGAAAGGTGTTGTGAAATAATAGGACTGGGCAAAAAAGTTGCAAACATTAATACGATAGCACTGTCAAAGGGCAACGCACCAACGTTGTCGATACCTTTAGATTAAAAGAGGCGTACCCCGTCCTCAGTGAGACTGAACCACTTCTGTGGACTTGTGCATGCCTGTATCTTAACCTTCTCCATCACCTCCGTCGCCAAACAGGCCTCGGGCTTGGCCGACCAAGCCCGAGGTTGGGTTGGTGGCTGAATTCACCGTTCCTCTGTTTACTGTGAGACCTCATACATGAAGCAAGTTTGCATGTGCGGTTTCGACAGCACGTATCCTTATGTCCAAGGGCAAGCATTAGAGATAATCAGAAAGCACCAGCAGATCTAATTTGTGTGACATCAGCTGGAATATGCCAAGCTTCCTAGTTTGAAAAACAGAGGAAGCATCAATACGTGCCTTTCGATTGTCTTCCTTTTCGAGGTGGAGGTAGTAAGTGGGATAGAGCCCTTTGTCGACGCCCTTCTTGTCTCGTGTGATACGGCATCGTATCGTGGTTCCCTGAGGGCAGGGCACCGTGGAGAATTCCTCAAGATGACCACGGTCGAGCAGGTCGGCGAGGGGACCCAGGTCCATCACGGGCACCGACATGGCCGGCTGCGCCTTTCCTCCATCTACGCCGCCAACGCCGCCGCTAACGTCTTCAACCTGCGTCGTATTGTGGATACTATTTTGGAGGACACCACATTTTTTCCAGAAGGCTATTTAGGCGCGAAACTGTCTATGTCCAACACGCCATACATTAGGGTGTTTTTGAATAGCATACGCAAAGTTCCGCGTAAGCATTTTGCACCACTAAACTAACCACTTGTGGGTTGCCGTCAGAGACGGAAAAAGCGGGCAACAGCAACGAACGCTTACTTGGCGCACGCTATTCGAAAACTTCTTATTACCAGCGCAAACAAAACATATCATCGAAGGACGAATCGATGGGACCCGGAAAAGCGCTGACTAAGCAACCACGATTATTGGCGTAAATGTCGGTCGTTGAGAGCGAGATAAAGATGCAAGGAAAGGCAGGGAGGTTAACCAGAAAGAAATAAGTAGAAATATGGGCTAAACATACCGGATAAGTATCATATTACCGAAAAAGTTCGGGCTAGTGCGTAGTCCCATGCCGAAGACACACGCTGGTATTCTTCGTGCCGGTGAAGTCTTGTGCAGTAGTGTACCTGCCAGCTGATATCTTGACGTATATACTTCAAATGCAAGTGAATAATACTATCAACAATTTCAAGAGAAATGAACATTTATGTCTGTTTGGAACTATGGACTCCACTTCCATACACGCAGAATGACACTAAATTCATGCCGAAAATTTTAAAATACCACTTAACCTAGCAATCGTTCTTCTTCGCCTGAGGAGCAAAGCAGTTAGACCGCTTATGTCTTGGGTTATAAACTAAACATGCATAGTCTTATTATAACCTAAACGTGCATAGTGTTATGTCATAGCATGCAGCCTAGTCACTTTCTCGGGCTTCTTTGCTCAATCCCGGGAAGACGAAGAAGTGTGTTTTGAATAGGAGCTGCTTCTGCTAACTCCGGCGTATTTCAGTTGTAATTTAAGTCTGTTGATCAGTTTCCGCTGCTCCCTTGGAGGGGATGGAAGTAGACCACCCCGGGCGCCTGCCGGCACCAGCGGCGTCAGCGGCGACTGCCTCCAGGAAGCGGATGGGACAAGCGAGCGACAGCGACAGTGAAGATACTCATGCTTACTATCTCAGCAGTGAGGACTTCTCAGATGACGGTTTCCAACCTGTGCTGAGCCTCAAGGCGAAGAGAAGGAACATGAGGACATCCTCATCCTCAACTATTCAAACTGTGAGTGAAGCGACAAAATCGAACACTTATACCATCCTGTTTCTGCCGGCACTTCCTACCGTCAGCATGAAACGCCTTAACAGACAGTCTGTGTCGAGGTCTCTGGAAACGCTCGTGCCAAATGAGATCACGGACATAAGAGTGAACGCCAGAAAGAATATACTGGCTGTGGACGTTTTGCACGCAAGTGCGTTGGGCATTCTGCGCAGTGTAACTGACTTGGACGGCAACCAGGTGCGCTCTCATGTTCCCTTGGGATGTGATGTAGTAACCGGCGTGATCTACGACATTGATGTCGCTATTTCCAATAAGGACTTACAGCTTCTTGTCAAGTCAACAACTGATACTCCAATTGTTGATGTCACCCGGCTAGGCAAGTCTCGCTGTGTGAAGATTGCGTTTAAGAGCACATCACTCCCCTCTCATGTGAAGGTGGGGTACTTCAGACATGCTGTGCGGCCTTTCATTCCAAAGCCTCTCCAGTGCGGTAAATGCATGAAACTTGGACATGTGAGCAGCGTCTGCGAGAATTCGGTGGTATGCCACCGCTGCGCCGAGCACCATGAAGCGGATAAGTGCGTCGCAACTGTCAAGAAATGCTCTAATTGCAATGGATCCCATGAAGCCACATCGAAGGACTGCCCGCGGATTCAGAAGGAAATTGCCATCTTGAAGGAGATGGTGCGCGATCACTCATCTCACCGAGAAGCCGCAGCTAAAGTCAGAAGGCGTCGTTCACGTCGACGTCGGTCTTCGAGGACGCCCGCTACCTCCTCGACACAATTGCGTGATCCCTCATCAGATCCACCTCCTTTGCCTCCCAGACCACATGCCGCGGGAAAGGCTGTAAAGGAAAAAGCCAGTGAGCATACCCTGACTGCGACAGAGTGGCCTGCACTTCCAAGGGAAGCAGCATCAAGCGAACCGAAGGAGCTTCATGACGGCCAGTCCACGCTCCCGGTTCGAGATCTTTCCAACCAAGACAGGCAAGTGACTGCAATCGTCCCGGTTCGAGATCTTTCCAACCAAGACAGGCAAGTGGCTGCAATCGTGCAATCATTAATTGCCACGATTCGCACGCTACTGAGCAGCATACAATCTCCGTCTGCTAAGAGTGCACTGCAAATACTGGATGCACTGAATCCAGTTCTTGCTAACTTCGTATAAGCACAATGGCTCAACAAAATCTCCACTTCCGCACTGAAGTTAAAAGTGCGTCGATTTTTCAGTGGAATGCCAGAGGCATGAAGTCCCGTATCTCGGACTTGCGCCAATTTGTTCGGGCCAATCAATTCCCTATACTTGTCATATGTGAACCAAACGTGTCAACGCCTTATAGATTGTCCGGTTATGAAGCTTTTTGTTCAGCCGCTTGCGAAGAACGTAGCAAAGTAATTGTTTACATTCGCACAGACTTGACTTATCTTTCGCACCCAATAAGTTCAAATGACGACAATCAGTACGTGTGTCTTCGTGTGAAGAAGAATGCAGTTTCGTTCACGCTTATTGGTGGATATATATCTCCGTCATCGCGATTTGACTGCGACAGATTAAAAGACATCCTAATGAGAACCGATGGGCCTTGGATCATAACCGGTGACTTCAACGCCCATCACATGCTTTGGGGGAGCACTAGGATGAATGCCAGGGGCCGGAACATTGTTACATTCGCTTCCGATTACGACCTTTCCATCATGAACGATGGTACCCCCACATATCTGCGGGGTCTCACGTATGGCAGTTGCTTTGATCTGACATTGGTGTCACGGTGCTTCTCTCACAAAGTTAAGTGGTTTTGCGATATTGAGACTCATGGGAGTGATCACATACCCACCTACGTGACGATCGATGGTATCGTAAAAAATTTCTCTTCCGGTGTTGCAATTGGCACTGACTGGTCGATGTTTGCATCGCGTGTTGAGAACGCTTGCCAAGAAGGCCTCGCCTGCAGCCTGGAAAATACCGTAGTGGAAGCTATGCAAGCGTCCAAATGTAAATTACCATTTTCGTCTAAAGTTACACAGTTTGACATCGAACTGGAAAAATTACGAGCTATACGAAGGCGTGCAGAACGACGATACAGACGCACAAGATCAATTTACGATCTGAGGGAAGCAAGGCGGCTCCAGAAAAAGATTCAACGACGCATTTACAAACTGGAGAGCGAACGCTGGAAAGCATTCTGCGAATCTCTAGACCCTCATAAACCGCTGTCATATATCTGGAGAACAGTTCGTGGTCTTCGCTCCTCTCCACAACAACGGCATCCTTTTAAAGCTTTGGCACTCCATCAGGGAAAAACAGAACTCGAGGTGGCTGAAGAATTTTGCACGAGAGTTGCCGGGAATATTGTGAACGAGAGCATCGACGCCGTGATCGTTCCTGAGACGCGATTACCAGAAATGGACATTCCGTTCACCATGGAAGAACTGGAAGGTGCGTTAGTCGCTTCTAAGCGCATGTCATCGCCAGGTCCTGATGGTATTACTTATAGTGCGTTGGGACACCTTGGACAGAAAGCTAGAAAAGAACTTTTAACATGCTTCAACAACTCCTGGCTCAGCGGCAGTGTTCCCCGAGAATGGAAAATTAGTCGATTAATACCACTTTTGAAATCGGGAAAATCACCATTGGACTTGACAGCGTATCGCCCTATTGCCCTCGCAAGCTGCCCCGGAAAAGTGATGAAAAGGATGGTTCTATTTCGTCTCGAGTGGTACTTGGAACGATACACCAAATACCCTTCTTGCATGGCAGGCTTTCGTCGGGGCCGCTCCTCCATTGACTGCGTCCTTGGTTTGTCGACATTTGTTCAACAAGAAAAAAGTCGCAAGCGCATATCAGTGGCACTCTTTCTTGACGTGAAGGGTGCATATGATAATGTAGCTCACGATGCCATCCTCACTTCTCTCGCAGCAATGGGCGTTGGTGGACGAATGTTTCAATGAATAAAAGATTATATAACTGGCAGAGGTTTCTTTGTACAAACATATGAGGGTACAACTGCCCAACATTACACGTACTGCGGAGTACCTCAGAGAGGTGTTTTAAGCCCCACATTGTTCAATGTGGCCCTCATTGGTCTGGTGAAGGTTCTGCCAAAGTCGGTGTGCCTATCCATATACGCCGATGATATTTGCCTCTGGAGTGCTGCAGTTACTCGCCCTCAGGTGCGTGCACGAATACAGCGGGCAGCAACACTCACAACAGCCTACCTTCAGAAACAAGGCCTAAATATATCAACTGTGAAGTGCGCGTTGTTGGCGTTTACACGCAAACCAATGACGCCATACCCTGTTTACATCAATGGGCAGAGTGTCAAATATGCACGGACGCATCGTTTCCTGGGCATAATAATCGACAGAAGTCGTTCGTGGAGCCCACATTGTGCGTACTTGAAGAAGAGACTGCTATCTATTGTGCATATCATGAAATTCTTGTGCGGTAAAGCATGGGGAACTTCTGTGGCCTCCATGCTACAGCTGTACAGGGCCCTATTTTTGGGTCTATTGCGCTACAGCTTGCCGGTACTGACTAACACTTGCAAATCGAATACTCATTCATTGGAGAGTTTGCAGGGTCAGGCACTGCGTATCTGCCTCGGACTGCCCCGACGCGCTTCTACTTATGCCACAATCATGCTTGCCAAAGACCATCCGGTCAGGACATATATAGCTGTGGATTGCCTCAGAGCGCACATTCGACATGCTAGCCGTGTCCCCGACCACCACTTGGCCCTTCTACCTTCCGGAAGACCACGTGCTACGTTTTCAGACGTCATAGCCAAGCACCTAAACAGCATTCCATCAGGATATACGCCAGCTGCGAGAACGGCATGCCCTTTGTGGTGCCTCGACCAGCCGCAAGTACGTCTAGAAATTCCGGGAATCAAAAATAAAAGCAGTCACTCCAGAGTAGCATTGAAGCAAGCAACACTGCTATTATTACATGAGTTGTACTTAGACCGAACGCAGATATACACTGATGGGTCCGTCTCATCCAGCAGCTCATCAAGTGCCGCTGTAATTCCGGCTGCAGAAATGACAATCAAATTTAAGTTGTCACATATGACTACATCTACGGCATCAGAGCTTGCTGCTATAAGGGCTGCTTTACAATATCTCGTTCAAGAACGTCCAGGAAAATGGGTCATATTCTGTGATTCGAAGGCAGCGCTTCAGAGTTTGCAGTCTGCCATGCGTAGGAGGAGCCATGACCAACTGGTACAAGAAATAAGACATTGCCATCATGAAGCTCTAGCACGAGGGCATGATATTATATATCAATGGCTGCCTGGACATATCGGTATTACCGGAAATGAACTAGCCGATGATGCAGCCCGCTCAGCCCATGAAGAAACCCGTGTAGTCCCGATTCCTCTATCAAGGAATGATGCAGCAAAACAACTTTACCTGCTGGCTCGAGATCTCACACGCACGTTCTGGTCGTCTACCAGCTTCCAAAGGTGTCAATTTTATGAACTGGATCCTTCGCTAAAGCTAAAGCTACCATCACAACTTTCCCGCTCCGATGCGACACTGTTATGCCGCCTTTGGTTGGGTGTTGCATTCACAAAGGTGTACTCCTTTCGCATTGGTATGGCAGACACTCCTACATGCGACTACTGCGGAGATGAAGAAACCATCGAACACGTCCTCTGCAGCTGCGCTTGCTACGACACACAGCGATGCCAGCTACGGATGGTTTTGAATCGACTTGACTCCGGACCATTTTTTGTGCGGAAGATACTAGGACCTTGGGCATCTGCCTCAGTTACGCAGAAAGCAACTAAAGCACTGCTTCTTTACCTTAAGTCAACAAACCTGAGCGACCGCCTGTGAACTGTGTGTGCTCACCGAGTGTGCTCGTGATTGTGTGTACCTTCTCATCTTTGTGCAACCTCTTTTCTCCCCTTTATCCCTTCCCCAGTGCAGGGTAGCAAACCGGATGTGCGTCTGGTTAACCTCCCTGCCTTTCCTTGTATATTTATCTCTATCTCTTTGCTCAATCCCGATTCATTCGTTATTGATTGATTGATATGTGGGGTTTTAACGTCCCAAAACCACTCTATGAGCCACTTCTTTCTCGTGACCTTACACTTCCTTACTTAACATTTCTTTGCGGAGCGGTATCAGTGAAGCATACCTGCACACTGTGCCAAGCCTTCCCTTCCAGTTGCACTCCCATGCATAACGCTCTCTAGCTTCCCCAATATTGCCAAGAACGCGCCACGCTTCCGCCATCTCACGCAAAAAATCGTTCATGTTTTTTTTTTCACAGCATTGTTGGAGCTGAAACAAGCGTAAGGACCTGCGCTATGGTGTCCGTGACGTCTGTTGGCGTGTCGGGAACTGTCGCTGACATTCCCCGGCTGGAGACGGACTCGGACGTGATGGGCGTGCTCTCCAAGTCTTCGTCACCGTTGATGCTCGTCAGGTCATCGCTGAGGTCCAGCTGCTTCAATTTCTTCTCTACATCTGCAGGGTAAGAGCAAAAAAACCAATATTTCCAACATTTCACAAAATATTAATTTATCTTATATTTAAACCATCTCTTTTATGCTTGCTCAAATGTGTATTAGGCTGATGGTAAAAATTAGTAGGGGAGCAAAAATAAATAAAAAGGTCGGAAAGCTGGTACCTACAAAAAAAATAGTGCCAGTTTTTCGGTGGCTTTTCTCTTGTAACGTGTATGAATCCCTTTGAAGAAACACGTTGACTCGCTTTTCGGTCACACGACTTTATAACGACAGTACAATGATCTCTAGAGAGAGTCCACGGGCCTCCTAAATATAGTCCTTTAATCTTTAAGTCCGGATTGTCGAATTGCAGTAAAAAATAGCTTTTTTTATTTAAGGGTGCACGTTTGCCAATGGTCAGTTACAACCAAGCACGTATGGATAAATGCAATTTCCGCAATTCAGCCCCCGGAAGTGCGATGCAGCTGCCAACTCATCTGTGCAAAATTGCCGTGTTAAGTGGTTTCTGTTGTTATATTAGGTACTTTTTCGCTGCTAACGCAAATACTGTGAATACTAAGGGATGAAAGTTAGTCGTCTATACTTAAAACTTTTTTGTTCGGCTGAGTAGTTACGAAGGAATATTTCTTGAAATTTGGTAGTAACTTTAAGTTTTCGGCAGAAACCTAAAGGTACGATCATGATTTTGTATGGTAATATCACATGACTAAAATAGTTTCATGCAATGAAAGTATGCAAGGGTGAACGTTCTCCTCGTGGCAGTGGGACGACTCTTCTGCTCTCCCATAGTAGAGTACCAAGTACCCGAAATCGCTGACAACTGTGTCTAAACATGAATGTGTAGTAGCACCATAAAGCGTTCACAATTCATTCTAAGCACTTGTCTACGCAAAGCTGCTCTAAATGGGACAGCAATGACAGTGCGTAAAGCTTACATATGTATTTAGGTTAAAACGGACTATACAGCTTTTCATCACTTGTTGGCTGGATGGATGAATGTGCCGAAGCGAAGGCCCAAAATACCACTTAGTCACGCAGCACACATTCATATTTGACATTTAAATGGGACAGCCACAATATCACACGTAATGAAAAAAAAATTGTTTACAATATGCGGTGTGAGGTGGCAAGACGGAAGTGCGACCACATTGCAAGCCTAGTTCATAGATAGTAAAATGATATTTACTTATTTACGTATGCTTAGGTGTGCGTTAAAGAATCCAAAGAATCCACACATCCCGCTGGGCAGCTTCGATGCACTACCCACGAGAATTTACTTGACATAATATATCCTAATATACAATTTCCGAACCCTTATTGTTAAAAATAAAAGAGTAATTATGACACCAAAGCCATTTCCAGCGCTTCCAGTCAGTTCCGTGCTTTTTCCTGTAAAAAAGGTATGAACTCTTATCGGGATACAAATGCGTGAAAATAAAGTTTCATAAGGACGGACAAAATGTTTCAACGCAGTATAACCAATGACAGCTCGCCGAAGTAAATATTTGAACGTGTGCTTTGTATTTTGGACTACAAACGTTCTCTTGACTTCAGAAAGACATGAGCTTTATTTTTTAGTGAGTTGTTCCACCCTGCAGTATTTCATAGTTAAGTATATCCATAGGTATTTCTTTTAAATATTCTATTTATTTTCAATTATTGTTTTCTAGGGCTGAAGAATTCCAGCGTGTTTTTAATTAAGGTTCGAGATTCCGTACCTAAGGTTGGAGATAGCTGACTTGAATAAAAAAATCGGTTCTAGACAATTCGAAAAAGAAAGCAAGTTCACACAGAGTCTTTATAAAATAAACGTTGAAGCAGGTAAGCTACAGTGCTCTCACTGGTGCTAGGAGTACTTCCACCTTAAGACACATCACAATTGCAATCGTTTTAAAACAAAAGCTGAGAATAGGCAAATTCGGTCTCCAAAATAGCATTAAAATAATATTAGATTAAGTAAAATGGTGTTCTTCTACGTGATAGTGCGTGCGCTTATCGCGGCTATATGCGAAATTCTGCAGATTATGTGGCGTCTCGTCTCAGCTAAGAAGATTTCCTGTTTGTTGCCGAGAAAGTAAGCCTCGTGCTGTGTTTAAAACACCACTCCCCTTCTTCCACGGTGCAAAAATACTTTAGGGGAACGAACGACGCAAAGCGAGCGCTTGGCTGAGATGACCCGTTTACGTTCTCGTTTGTGGCGTGCCGATAGATGGCTCGCCAAACTAAACACCATGACGGGCTGCTGGCAAATTCCTGAAAGAACATCCGGCACGTGAGCGACGGTTTCCAAATCTGAGATAACCGGGCAATCGTGTGATATCAACCACGCGACAAACATAGAATGGCGCCGCGAAAAAGAGGGTGATAAGAGAGGTGGTTGACGATGCAGCGAGGGTGTTGCCACCACGATAAATGATTACCGCTTCTTTCCTACATCACGGGGAGGGAGAAACCGGTATCAAAGGGCTCTACTGGGACAAAGTTCGTATAGCCATCTGCAGGCTCCTAGCGAAGCAGAATATTATCGGGCAGCGGATTGTCCCGGCGTTCGCATACCTAAAGTATTCTTGCACCGTGCCTTCTTCTTTTAAGCCAACCCGCCTAAGGAGTGCTACCATCTTCTGGCAAAATGAAGCACGCTTGAGAGCGTGGTATGGCCTCCAAGATGAGCAGAACCCAGATTGTTTATCTCGAAGCATATGCTTTACCGCTTTGTGTTGTAGGCTTGTAATATCTGCGATGCCTTTCGCGCTTTTTTCAAATTGTCGCAGTCATAGATAAGATTAGGGAGGAGTTGGTTTGTTCGATTCAAAAGCCCCGCGTTTACTTACTTAATTTGTAGCCCCACGTTCTTATTCACAGCGATTGAGCCTTCGCGCTGACGTAAATAACGCACTTATAATCAGTCGACAGGGGAGTCGACGTTCTCAAAAGTGGTATATATAGCAGGTACGAACCATCCAATCGACTTTTTTTTCTCGAGGAAGTTTTCAATGGTCTTCTGGTCTAAATCGGGATATAAGCAGTCTGACAGGCTCCCTGAAGACTCCTAAATTTCCGCAATCAGACACTAGCAAAATAAATGGACTTCTCTGTTCATAATTATATCACGAACACGTCAGTGAAAACTATGGCCCATCTCCCCGAAGGAAACACTGATAGAATGCGAAGCAGCAGTGGTGCGCACAGCGTTGACCCGGTCGAAACGAGCATCGACGTGGGTGCTGAAAGAACGGTTTGAAGCGAAACTCGGTGTAGCGTTTATTGGAGTACACGTTTGTTTGAAACGCAAAGATACCGGAGGCGGGACGTGTTAAAGACGTTTGCGTTCGGCTTCCTTGGCTTACGTCTCGTCGGTGTTACCCGTGCGTCGTCTGTATTCTCGAACGCGATTGGCGTTCTTGACTCGCACCTCGTCGGTTTTGCTAGCCTTCCACTGCCGACGCTTGCGTTCAGCTTCTCTGGCTCACGCCTCATCGGTGTTGACGTCGCCAATCGCGAAAGTGATCGGCTTCACCACAATGCCGTTGACAGCTGGAAAAGGTACGCGCACACTGGCGGGAAGCATCGCGCGACAAGCAGCGGCGTGCCGTCCACATTGTCGGCGCCTCGAGAATCTCGCGAAAACAATCGAGAAAAGAAGCCGCCGGCTCGCGGCATTTTTTCGCCGACAAATGGAAAGAAGTGGCGCGGGTGAGATGATGCCCACGTCAAGAGTGGGCTCGAGTTTCGCGAGTGGTGGAGAGGCTGAAGTGAGAGAGAGGTCACACGCGGCGTGCACATGGCAGGCGAGAGAGAGAGACGTCCCCACGCGCTGCTAGGAGGGCGTGAGCTACTTGGCACCGCTCCAACACTTGTGGCGAGGGGAACGATGCGGACGGAGGGACAGCGTTACACAGGCTATTCATAAAGGTGCTTCGCATCTAATAGTTTCTACTTATTCATGAGGAGAACAACGCACTTAAGATACTAAGGTAAAAGTTTAGAACAGTAAATCTTCCCTTTGTTGTTTCGTATTTTGGTTCAGGATGCTATTTCATGTTCATTATATACTGGTCGCTACAATTGACTTGGTACTAATGAAAAATGCGTAATAATGTGTGGATCACTGAAAGTAGAGCAGGCGAGTAGGTGAAACTACAGTACAAACTACATTAAATACGCTGAACTAACAACTGACCAGTTAGCTCAGCGCCCTGGCTTGTAGTCGTCTCTATATTGTGCTTCGCGTTGCTTAAAATGCAAATTTTGACCAACTCGCGCACAATTACATTCTTTTGCGGATGCCGTCGAAAACAAGAATTCGTTACAGTGTCTTCATAGATTTTGCCTTTCCTCGTACTGCATACATCTCAATATACATAGGCTCATCGCTCGTGCGACAACTTAGACGAAATATACCATGCAATCTCACTTACCAGGAGATGGTGGGATTGGGCTGCTGTTCAAGGCAATGGCGAGGGTGTTCTCTCCTTCGATGTCGTCTTGCACGACAGTGTCTTTGGAGCTGTCGCCGACGGGGGCATCCAAGGTGTCAGTGCTGGAGAAGAGCATTGGGCCGTCGTAGCCTGAAAGCAAACACGGTGATGTCCGAAAAGAGTTAAAATATTGGGAGAGAAATAAAAAAGGGAGAAAAACAAACGTAGGAAAAAGGCAAGAGAGATAACCACGCACGTGCCCGGTTGACTATTTTGTACTCGAGGAATGGAGAGGGAGAATACAACTGTCCGAATAGTCGACAGTTCGAAATAACCAGTTCAATCACGGTCCATTCTATTCGGTATACCTGTATCTCGTGGTGTATGTTGGAGATACCGTATATGTTTCGAACATCTTTCTCGTAAAATGCGCCGATGTCAAAGAACCTCAAGGGAACTAAACGTTCGAGCAGAAAAGGGTAGAGTTTTACGTTTTGATTATTCAATATTCAAGATATATGTGGCATAACGTTTAACGGGACTATCGACGCTATATTCATCACAGGAAGAGGACTTTATCGTTTGAAACTGCAGTTTCACCAAAGTGAAAGAGTCATCAATATGATCATTACATCCAGGATGATATCTCGAGGATCTTTGTTTGTTCTTTAATATATGTGCAAGTTTTATTTCAAACCTGTTGACAAAGTTTCACTCTGATTACTATAGTCGTTGCTGTATTTCAACCTACAGTTACAAAATGCTTCTTTTTCTGATGTTGTCGAGTTTTCCTCAGTTTCCGTAAATGTGCTATACTTTTATCGGTTAAAGGTAACCGTACTGTTCCTTGGCTAAGGCTTGTGAATATTTATTTAAAGTAAAAGGGTCAAAAATTTTTGGACTGTTGTTAAACTTGTTTGCTTACTGATATAAAAATATCCGAATAGTGTTCAGATTGTGTTCGTATTCAATTCGGTATTATCTCAATTCAACTTGTATTCCATTCAAGTCTAAATTTGCTATTCGCACTCTTTTGGGTAATAATACTCAAGGCACATATGAAAAAAAACAGAAGCAGCAAAAAGTAAATAATGGTGATTAGTGATGGCGTGACGCAGTGACCTCACTAGCAGGTTGATGCAGCATGGGAACTCACAGCTGACGACGTCTTGCACAGGTCTGTCTATGCTGAGACCGGCCATGAGGGGGCGCGACTCATCCTTGCGCAGTCGGCTCCGTACAGCCGTATTCGACGCAGGCCGGCGGGCATCAGAGGCCTGCAGTAGTCCCTGGCTTTGTCGCTTGTGGCGCTGCTTCTCCTCGAGCAGCTGACGCTGCGAGACAGAATGATAGACCGTGATTGCCTTGATCTCCTCTTGACACTGCTAAATATAGTAACAAGTGACACAGAACGCAGAAGCTACGTTCACTGATTGGTACATTTCAGCTATTCATTGTGGATTATAAATGAACACGAATTCAATGATGTAGAAACGTAGAAGTAGAAAAGAGAGAGAAAACAAGAGGGAACGTTGGCAGGGTAACCAGACAGCCACATCTTGCTTGGTACAACAAATTGGGAATAAGCCTAGGCGGAATATGAATAGCGACACAAGAAGAGAATGAGCGCTGCGCACGCGCAGAGGAAACCTGCAATCTGTCGCTGAGGTGAGTTTTTCATCAAAAAGTGGGATTTAGCACAAATGGTAATTTGGCCATAGTTAAGAGAAGGTATTGAACAAGGGATACGACTGGGGCGAACGTTTCAAGAAGATTGCTTTCTGAGGGCAGTAGTATCGTAATCGTTACCCCGAAACTTTGATCGATACTTGAAATCATTACGCCGACACAGAATGTAAAATTCGCCATCTCTTATCGTAAGTATCAGTTAGAAAGAGAGCGATCTTTCGAAGAATATTGTTGTTTCCATGGGGAAATATTGAATGAAAATCTTAAACACGCAGTCAACGTATTTTTCCAAACATTGCGTGCCAAATTATTGCAGGTTACTCCTGGGCATTCTATGTGCTCTTTAAATGTTTTAAAGAAATAAATAATAAAAGTAGTGACGACGTGATTGCATTCGTTGCACTTTATGATTGCACATTATTCAATCGTGAGGCGTCAGAGGACTGCTTTATCTCCTCCAGTGCAGGCTTTGTACCTCTCCAAACGTGACGTAGAAAAAATCAGCTTAACTGCCTTGTAACAGTGATGAGCGACTGTAATGCTGATAACACATCGCGTTTGTTAAGCTGCTTTAAAATGCCCGTGGGAACTAACTCATTAAAAATTCTTTCAGTCTGTCTAGCAGGAGAAAGTGAAAGGGTACTTTGATTACAAAAACGAAGATGATTTTTTCGATTTATCTTTGGCGTCACTGCGAATGAATGCTTTTCCCATCAGCGCGAGTTCTTTGTTGCTGATAATCGAACGACGTTTATGGAAGCAATTCGATAGGGTGCGTCTTTTAATAAAACGTCGCTCTTCAGATGCAGCGCCACTGCGTATCGAAAAAATGCGAGACGCATTGAACAGACAGCGACAATCGTATTCGACACATTGACTTGGCTGCGAGATTGACTGCTTTCCACCACTTTCGTTATTTATCGAAGAAAATATTTCGAAATACTAAACCACGTTCGCACGTGAAAAAGTGAAAGGCTGAAGGCCTCATCAAACCGAAAGTTTGACCGTCGAACATTGAGGTTGTACTGCATTGCATAGACAAAACAATGTATGGTTTTGAGCCTCCCAAACTTGTAAATAAACAAAGGAGAAAGGTACAATGCCGTTGGCCTAATCATAACCTTTCTCGACTACAAACACGGTGGGGCAACATGACTCTTTTGAGGCCTAGTAATTTATCGAATAAGAGGTGGGAGACAGGGTTTGTTAAACTGTGAGCTATTGGTGCTTTTCAATGGTTTCGTTTTTGGTTCGCTTATCTTACTGTCATATAGCATTTCATAAGTAATAGTTTTAGGATTTTTTGGGTACCTACGTGTCGAAATCATGATGTGATTGATCATGAGGCTCGCCGTTCTGAATGGCTCCGAAAATTTAGACCATCCGTGAAGTTGTTTAACGAGCACTGGCATCCGTGAAGTTCTTTAACGAGCACGGGCGTCTAAAACTTCGTCTTCACCAAATATCCAACGCCGCGGGGCTGGAATAAAACCCGCAACTTACGTGTTAGCAGTCCAGCAGTGTGAGCACTGTGCCACTTCGGTAGATATCACACATTCCGTATGAACTTCACGTAAAGTCTAGTACACTAATCTTCATGTTCATGCTTAACTTCTTTTAGTTATGCCAAACATGGTCCGAGTATGCCTTCCGGCCAACTGTTTGCAGATGGCAGTGATAAACAGACCACAACGACCATAGGGGTGACAATGATTTACACCGAATGCTCTACGACACTGAGCTCTCTGACCACTCTGATTTCCTCTACGTTGCTCGTATTTCATCTCTAGCTTCAAGCCCTTTTCTTGTTCTCCTCGGTGCGTGTCAGTCCGACATGCCTTGTTTGGAGTTTGTTAACAGCTTTAGTGAATTCATCCGAGATTGTAGGTGCGGGATGTCCGTGCCTTCTCCAGCAGGTGCATCGCTTTTACGCTTCAGAACGATTTAAACGAAAATGAGTTGTTTTGACCGTTTGTATACTCTATGCGCTAAACTTTCACAGAGATATGATCACTCGTGATGAGCATCTCTAATTTTTGCCACGCTTCAATTAAGGGCGCAATGTGGTGTTGTTTTTAAGTGTAGAACAGTTATCAGTGATGGACTGTCGTATGCTGTCATCGTCTCATACGCTGTCGTAGATTGACGTAATTGAAGCAGAGCCATATACAGCATGGCCACTTCCGCACACGCTCGCCCCACAAGGACGTCTTCTTCCGAGCACCTGTATGTAGATATGAACAAATTATACCAGAAAAGCAGCCAGGAAAAGTAGAAGATATGCAGAGAAAGACCGAAGAAAAATGAATAACAAACAAACAAATGAATAAAAAAACCAAAGAAAAAGAAACCTAAGAAAAATGAAGCAGGCTGTCCACTTCCACACTTCCATGAGGCTTGCTACCAGTGTCGATAGCTGCCTTAACGTCTTTTTTCTTGCACGACTGTGTTTCGTCTTCATCGTCTATTCAGTGCAGGTGTTGAACGCCAGAAAAAAAAGGACGTCTACCCGTCACCACATGCTTCGACGGGCTCACTTCAAGCCCCGCGATTCCCATTGTCAAAGTGACCGGTAGCCAGCACCGCACGACGATCAGTAGGGGCAGCAAAGGCAGCGCCAAGAAGAAAACAAAAACAAAAACAGGAACGATACTCCAACTGCATGATCACATATTTGCTTGGCATTGAACACGCAACTGGCACTTAAGCCTACCATGTCCTTGTGATCGCACAGGAAAACGCGAGGAACTTGTCTAAAGGCTCAGGGAGATCCTCCTCCACTCGACTGTACACCTCTGAGGAATAAAAAGAGAGAAAGAACTTAGCCAGAAGCAGAATCTTGCCTAAAACACAAAAGCAGTGACATGACTAGCACTTGCATGGCCACATCTATCCGTCCCCCCGTCCCCGTCCCCTACACACGCGAAGTACTAAAGAAAACGAGGAAGTACAATTGCTTCGAGGATATTGCCTTTCTCTTATCTTATCTGATATAGTGTTCTTTGTAAGCGTAGCCTAATGATGCTGCGAATTCCGTGCGTAGTGACAAGGGATCGCGTGTTGGACACCTTATGGTGCCACTAAGCCTAATACATTGTGACGGAACAACTGTAACGTTGAAGGCATAGAACTTGTCTTGGCCTTTCGATGGTGGGTAACTCGCTATAATACCGAAGACAAATAAGATCGAATAAGGGTGTTTTGCTGAACATTGCATCAATGCCTGATTGTTATGGGCATTGTATTCTGCGATATAGAGAGATTGTTATCGTTACTTCAGGAAGCAAAGAATTTCACTGCTGTTAAGAGCTATACAATCCCGTTCATCATGGGGCGCCGTAATCTTTGTCTGCTTACTTAGAGCTGGTGTTGTGTGAACAGTGAGTTGTAGGCAAGGGCAAGTGGTAAGTTCTTAAATTGTAAGAGTTACTAGTAGCTTGGCTGTTAAGAGTTAACGTAGTTTCATCGATCACACTTGGTTCTGTAATCTACAGCTTGTTCTGGCAGGTTCTAGCACCTCAGGGAAGATATTAGGTGCGAAGCATTTCAAGGGTCCGGGCTTTTGTATGCTCTCGTCGCTTGACGTAACGCAGGTAAAACGACGCGTAAAAGTTCTAAAAAACAAAGGAAGCAAGGGTTACGGAAAGATAAAGAAAGAAAAAATATGAAGAAAATAGAAGAAAAGAGAAAAAAGATTGTACAATTCTCCCGCCAAAGGGAAGCATGCGTAGATGCGAAGCATCGGGCGCTGTCGCCTACACTGTTAGCGACGTCGGCACTGGCGCTCATCAAGTGAAAGCCAAGTAAGAAGGCCCTTGATTGAATTCTGAACGCGCGATCAAGTGCCTACATATATGGCGTGACCAGTGAACGGTCTTGCAGCGTGAGAAGTCGTTTTTTTTTTTTTTTTGCTAGCAGACGCTACCTGCACCGGCCTTGCGAGGCGAGAGAGGGGAAGGGGCGAGACAGTTTTGAGGGTCTCTTCCTGGACCGGCACGAGACATGAGCATGCGGCACGGGAAGCTAGCCTGCGCAGTGGGGTTGTACGGAGGGACAGCGTTACACAAGCTAGTCAAAGACCTGTTTCGCATCTAAAAGGACACAGAAAAGTAGACAACACAAAAACAAAGAAGACAGGAGAGAAGACAGAAAAACCAAGAAAAACCAAGAAGACTGTCCAGCTCTGCATGTGAGTCTTTGTATCAATAGTGTGAAGCTGCTTCAATTTTATTTTCATCGTGAACTCAGAAAAAAAAAGAGTTAATCATATTTTATCTATCACCCATGGCTTTTCTAAATGTTGCGCCTATTACATATCTTTTCGCTCACTGTGGTGAAAGCACAACATTGTTTTTATGTTTGTTCATTTTGTGATCCTTGATGCATGCCCTCAATAGGCACGTAAAAGAAAACTGCTAATGTCGGCTAAAGGGGAAACTATCTGGTCTGCGACAGTACTATCAATTCGAAAGTTGTTACTAGATGGGCCAGCATGACCGCATAATGTTGTTGTTTTTTTTTTTTCAGTGCATCGGGATGCTTAAAGTTATCTGCAACAGATAACTAGCCTAACGCGTGAGGAAGAGGGGGAAGGGATTCGGGTGCTCCTGGTCAGAAATTTCTGTGCATGATTCCTTGACAGTTTTAACCCTTCTATGTTCACGTACGGGTAATACTACCGTGACATTTACTGAACAATTTAGACCCTTTGCTTTGTGGCTGTGGCCTTGGTTTCTGGTATTTTCTTTGCATTGTGACTTATAACGTCACAGGTTAGGCAGTTCGTGCACTATTCGGGAATAGTTGATCTTTGAAAGGCGCTGTACCCTAATTTGCCTCCCTTGTCGATATAGCAATCGATATAGCCCGAAAACTAACAAAATATGCTGTCTTCAGCAGCAGCATGGTGGTGTGCGGAGTTGAACGGCACTCGCAATCAGCTCTCCGGCTGCACGACAATCTCTAAATTGAGTTAACGTGACTGCTGTGAACTGGTCCACAGCAGCCGCGGGGTGTTCTTATTCATTGCGTGGCCGGTCCTTCTAAGACACATCGTCGTGACAGCAGTATCGGCGGTAGCCATCAACGCGTCGGTACTGAGCTTTTGACTTATGAAGGCAGTCGACCGGGGCAATGATGTTAACTGCTGC